GACACAGGGACCGTGGCTACACAGTGACAGATAAGTTGTGGATGAAACAGATCTGGATGACTGGGAGCAGTGCTCAGAGCCCCCAGACACCAGGCAGAACAGGAGGGAGGAGAAGAAACAGGCAGATTGTAGGTCACAGAGGCAGAGGGCACAGGATGCAGACAGGGAGACCTTGCAGCAGCCCGTCAGCCAGAGGTCAGTGCCTCAGGTGAGGCTCTGCAGCCTGGAGGATCCACAGGTGAGGGACTGACGGCTCTGTATCTGTGGACCTTGCTCGATCTCAAACAATGACTTTGCTTCTTCAGAATCAGGGCTGACCATTTTCCCAGGACCTGAAACCCCAGGCTCCAAGGCTCCCATCAGTGCCCAGCTGGGTGGACACAGGCCAGGCCTGGCCCAGCCTCATCTTCAAGGACCTCAGGATGGGCAGAGTGGGCTCCAGCTCCCACAGGTTAGTGGCCTTGCCCTGTCCTGCACCTGTGTCTGCTGTGGGCACCCTGCTCCTTCCTAGGTGCACACTCAGGTCACTCGCCCCACACTCCAGGGACACAGAGGTGAGAGTGGACTCAGTGCCCTCTGTGCACACGGAGACCAGGTGAGCTGAGGGTGTCCAGGTCAGTGAGTCACAGCCAAGTCACTTTGTGGGGTGAACTGAGATGAGGCTTAAGGTGGACACAGGTTCCTGAGCCTGGCAGAGCTGGCATTTGGGCCCTGAGACTGTGAGGTGGGAGGCAGCAGGAAGCTCTCTACCACCCAGGGCCAGGAGAGGCCCCCTGCCCTGCAGACACCCAGACTGACCCCAGACACTGCCATGGTCCCTGGGGTGGAGCCCAGCAGCAGCAGGACCCGTGGACACCACATCCACATGCAGGAAGCCACCTGCCCAGGGAAAGGCTCAGGCAACCCATGAACCAGGGTGGGAGAGCTCACCAGGGAGAGATGAGGAGGAGATGTGTCCAAGGGTGGAGGGCAGCCGTGCAGTCACCAGGAGAACCACTGTGTCAAAGGACGTTTCTATGATGACAACTAAGGATACTGTGTGGTAGGCTGAGTAGTGTGAGTGTGTGTATGTGTGTGTGTGTGTGTGTGTGTGTGTGTGAGTGAGTGTGTGAGTGTGTGTGAGTGTGAAAGAGAGTGTGTCTAAGTGTCTCTGTGTGTGTTAATGTGTGTGTGAGTGTTAATATGTATGTGTGTAAGTGTGGGGGGTGACTGTGAGCTTGTATGTGTGAGTGTGTGTGTGTGAGTGTGTGAGCGTGTGTGTGTGTGTGAGAATGTTATGTGTGTGTGTGTGTGTGTGTGAGTGTGTGTGTGTGTATGCACACATGGGCTGAGGACTCTGGGATCCCGTGCTCTGGTCTGGAGGAGGAGACTGCAGCCTTGGTGTGAACTGACAGCTGCCTGCCCTGGGGAGGGTGACCCAGGTCAGTGTGTACAGAGCACCT